GAATCTGCTCATTTGTCGGAACTGCCCATATCGGACCACTATAGCATATAACTCAGCAACTCCTGGTTCCTCGCACAGTCTGTTCCGTGTGTCAGACCGTTATACGCCGGAACGTCACTTCAGTCAAGTGCAATTCTTGCAATGGCTGGTGTCACTTTCTGTCGTGTTCCGGCCTGCGCACCACACATGAGTGGAGTGCGTCGTATGTTGCCCCATGCTGTAGGAAAGCAAACTACACCACAATGCGACAACCGCCCATGCGGATATTACAGCTGCAACAACCACCACCTACACGTACCTCCCTCACCCCCAGTATCACAACCGGACACCCGTGACAAACGCGAATTCTATAATTTAACTGCAACGGACTCCAGAGTAAGATCGAGGAGATAGTTGCATATATGAGCCGGGAACGCGTATCGATAGCTGCGGTCCAAGAAACCAAGTTAAACAGCCGCTCAGATCTTCTGAGTTTAGGGGGATAGAGCTGGCGGAACAGATTGACGATTCGACATTCTGCACAATGAATGACGAAGCCCCCACCAGAATTATGGGCAACTGTAATAGCTCGCCTGATATTACCATCGCTAGCGGCGGTCTGATAAATAGCATAAGCTGACGACCTATGCTAACTCTCGCATCAGACCTTCTGCCCATAATTATCTCGATCGAGAAACCTCCCGACATTATTTCTGTGGACAACCGCGCCTTTATTAACTTTAACAAAGCTAACTGGGTCGGCTTCACAGAATTTATTGAGAGCACCTTCAACGCACTACCCATTCCTACGGACGTCATCGTTGGCAAGCATCAATTCCGCAAGGTGATGTTGTTGTTGTTGTTGTAGCGGCAGAATTCTACCGAGTTGACAGTCCTTGGCCGGAATAAATCCGGGTCCGTTCCGGTTACGTAGACCCGACTGTCGTGGGAACGGTCCGCAAGGTGATCGCTGCTGCTACTGCTCGCTTCATACCGGCTGGAAGAATCACGGAACTCCGCCCTAATTTCCCAACCGAAGCAACTGTATTAGCAAACGAGCGCAACGCCTTACGCCATGCCGGTCCCTGTAATACCCGAATAAGTTATCTCAATTTGGAGATTCGGCAAATGGGAAATCAACATAAGCGGACAAAATGGATAGAGCACCTGAAGCCCTGCAATCTCTCCACCGGTGTGAGTAAGCTTTGGACTAATGTCAAGGCTTTGTCTAATCCAAGGAGACATGATGACCGGGTTGAAATTCAATTCGATGGCCATGTCTCCTCGGGCCCGAAAAAGTGCGCGAGCTATTTTAGCCGGCAGTTTATACAGCACCCTTCGACCGACAAGGTCAAACGATGTGACGACGGCTGCGCAAAATGCCAAGACTGCCCTCCACTTACTTTTACCGATGGAGAGGTTCAGAGTGTCATCAAAAAGGCCAAATCGTCTAAATCCATTCGCCCTGACGGAATAAGCATGCTGATGCTAAAGCATTTAGGCTCGACAGGAGTAAGCTACCTCACCAAGGTCCTCAACTTGTCGATGTCCACTCTTCAAATACCCGATATAAAGGGGAGTGTTGTCGCCCGATAACAGTCAATTACACAATGCTACTTGAGGACCTAGAACAATCAGCTCCCTCCAGGGCTGAAGCGGTAGACTATGAACTACCTAAGCGGTCGGCATTCATCCGTACTGTTTCGAGGTCAAAACTCCAAACATAGAGGAATTAAACAGGGGGTTTCGCAGGGCGGTGTCCTCTCCCCACTACTGTTTAATTTCTACATTTCAAAACTCCCCTAACCACCAGCGGTAATTTCCGTAACCACGTACGCTGATGACTGCACGATATTGACGTCGGGCAATGGAATCAATGGCATGTGCTCAAAAGTAAACAGCTTACTCTCCGACCTTTCTCGCTTCTTCTCTGCAAGGAGTCCGACACTCTTCCCCACTAAATCCACAGCGACCATTTTCCCAAACTGGACGAAGGAGCACAGACTGGATCTGAACATTTCAGTCGATGGCATAAAAATTCCGACAGTCAATAACCCTAAAATTTTAGGCGTTACATTGGACAGTCTGTACTCCTTCACTCCTCATACGACCACGATAACTGCCAAAGTACAGAGCCGCAACAAAGTCCTCAAATCGCTTGACGGCAGCTCTTGTGGCAAAGACAAAGAAACGTTGTTGACAACATACAAGGCAATCGGCCGGCCGGTCCTAAACTATGCATCACCAATATGATCGCCTGGATGTAGTGCAACGCAGACGAAGAAGCTTCAGACTTGTCAGAACACTGCACTCCGGAGTATCACGTAATGCCTCTTAATGTCGCCAATAGAACACCTGCACAGTGAGGCCCTGCTTTAAGCGGAACCGCCTCCTAGGAACATCAAGAGGTCCTTCCTTGATTACGTCGACGACATCAGACAGTACGCCGACCGGACTTCGGACGCAACGAACTATAGGCAAGCACTGACCCCCATTCACAGTGGAGCCATTAACACCTTCATCGACTCTCTCTCAGTGAATGGCGTACTAGGAGTCAAACCACCATCCATAGCGGACGTAGAGCTCGAGTTGCCTCGCGAAACCACAGTGACCCTCGCGCAACTTCGTTCTGGATATTGTAGCAGGTTAAACTCCTACTTATCCAGAATAGACACCGACATTCCAAACATATGTCCTGCATGCAATGAGTCCCCGCATGAAACTAACCACCTCTTTGCATGCCCAACAAACCCAACTCATCTAACACCCTTTTCCCTATGGTCCGACCCCGTCGAAACAGCTTGTTTCTTGGGTCTCCCGTTAGATGACCTCGACAACGAAAGTATTACTTATCATCCAAGCGGGGACTAGGTAACCTTTACAACAACAACAACATCGATCAGTATCAAGTCGTGGTATGGCAAACTTTGTTACTTGATCAGAGAACTTAGAAGAAGTTCTAAGTCTAACTACCGATAGATTAAGGTCTTTTCTCTTATGGTTGTAGCAGTTATTGTAAAATAGATTTTTTTTGTTTTCATATAAACAATTTTGGTAGTTTTAACGACGTTTATATTTTATTTAAATATACAGTTCTATAAATAAATAATAATTTAACTCATAATTTTAACTTAAGTCACTGCAGCAATGCTTATTTAAAATATTTGAAGTAGTTTTTTTTTCAATTGCTTTTCATTTTTTTCTTTTCGCTAATGGCCAGAATGGCGTATATAACTAATAATGTTTATTATATATATATGTATATGTATATACATATGTATATTTGTTATTATTTTTAATTATTATCTATGTGCACCACGGTACTCTTGCTAACCTTGCCTCATTGTATTAAAATAGTCTTTCATATTTGAATGCTGGCCTTAATAAGTTAAATAACTGTGAAAAATATGCACACACAACTATTATATTTTTGTTGGATATTACTTTATTATCATTATTTTAGTTTTTGTTCTTTTTTCACTAAGCAAAAGCAATGCAATTACTGAAATGATCCAAGTTTATCACAAGTGATAGATAGTTATTTTTTAAGTGTGTAACACATATGCATACATATATGGCACACACTTGTGAACATACATAAATACATATGCAATGTTTTATGCACTTTTATGCATGGGGCATACTTATTAACATAGGTTAGCACCATTTTTATGCCATTCTTTACCATTTTTGCAGCGATTTTTTTCTTAATTTCTTTTGCTCTGCTCTCTTAACTTTAATATACCCAATTCTTTATATTTTATTTGAAATAGGGGCATAATGTGCATTCGTCAACAAAACTAAACATGTATAGTTTGGCGAGAATGCAAAAAAAAATTTAAATTAAATAAAAAGAATATTTTATTTACATCACATTGTTTCATTTAACTACAAACTAAATGTTTTTAAGTGTCGTATTGATTTCGTTTTGCGGCAACGAATAGCGAAAGACGATTTTTAAGGAAGTGGAGCGAGACTAGAATTAATTTTAAATTAACAGTGCATATGCGTGTCGATGTTTAGCCAGTAGTGACTGTTGTCGTAACCATGTTAAAGAAAGAGTTGTATAAAACACTGTCCAAAGTACTTTTTACGTTGGCCTGTGCTGTAAAATCTTAATTAACATATGTAAGTGCCTACTTAAACCTCAACAAGCTCGGTTGCACTACTCAATAAAAATAAAAGAATAAAAATTAACACAAAAAATTATTTAAAAAAAAAAAAATAACAAAAATTAAAAAAAAATATTCTTACAAAAAATTTAAAAATAAATATTCTAACAAAAATTTAAAAAAAAGTATTCTAACAAAAATTAAAAAAAAAATTATTTAACAAAAATTAAAAAGGAATATTTAAAAAAAAAATTAAAAAATATATAATATAAAAAAAACTATTTATATGCATTACACAATTGTACATAAATAAGCTTTATGTTTAAGCAACAAAATAGTTTCATTTTAGTAATGCACTACATTAGAATCAATCAAATTGCTGACTTTCTATGTCTAATAAAATATTTTTTAGTAATGGAACTTTTTAGCAGCGTTTTAACATAAACTTTCCCTCATTTTCAGGAATCTACGTACCGAATAGTGTTTTGCTTAGGCTTAACCAAACACAAATTATAAGTAATTTTTTATTAATAGGCGTTTACAAATAATAATTAAGGAAAAATAAGCTCATTCACACATTGAATGTTTAAAATTTTGACGTAGTTTAATTATTTTTAAGGAGCGTGAAATTTTTATAACAAATATTTAACGTTACTTACAATGGAATTGTATATTTGCATTTCGCAGTAATAAAAATGCTAGCACTTATATGTAAAAGCAGCACAAGGCTATGTTAGCCATGCATGTACCTACTAAGGATTTCTTGAATGTTACTGTTGAAAACACACACAATAATGAACGCGTATTAACTCGGCAGCATTCCTCCAAATTACTTCAGGGATGTTTTCTGCCGCTAGAACAACATGCTATGTGTGTGTGTATAAGAAGTGCCAATTTGTTAAAAACCAATTTTTTACAGGCATTCAATAAATTGTTTTAATATATACATATTTATATTTACACTAGTTTCAAAACTGTTGCCATAAAATGCGAATTTTAAACTAAGCGTATAAAGTTTGTAGGTATAAAGTGAACTCACCGTGGCAGTATTAAATATTAACTTGTGTATGGTATTTATTGCTCCGCCATGTGAAAGTAAGTGTACATATGTATATGTTCAAAACTTAATATTCAATTTCAATAAATTAATATATAAACAAGAATAGATCGATACAACATAAAAACAAATTTCTTAGGTTATGTGATAAAAATAAGGTAAATAATAAATATTTATGCGTGCGGTACAAATCACAAATAGTTTGCGAATGCTTGAAAATATTTTAATATGACTTGTAAAAGTTTTTCCACTCCTCATGTGATTACACATTTGTTGTGTTAGCTACGCCTTGTGAAGGGATACACAACGTATAGCATATATATTTCATCTATTCATATACTAACATTTTTGTTTGGAATACATAATAGCGGGATTCTCATACTCTTGTGTGATTCCACGAATCTTAGATCAAAAGATGCAAGCGCACGATAGTATCTTATGGTATACAAGCTCAAGAGAATCCCCCTAATGGCTATCAAATGCGCTACATAAATAAGTGCACCAAAAACAAAAAATGTTATTAGCCTACTCATAGAGACTTATTCACAGCTTCACTATCGTTGCAAATAATTCTTATTTATATACATAAACACGCGAGAACTTTGCGCTTTCGACATCTTTGCTGCCTGCTTGCAGCACTACAAGCAATTTAGATTAGATGTTTGCTTATAAAAAATAAAACTGTATTCATTTGCAAATTTCTTCGTTAGTTGTTTAACTTTTTTTCGACTATGCTCTGTCATCGTTTAGCACTCACTATTCGTTATCCGTTTATAGCGATTAATCCTCGCTTCAAACACTGTCAAACTAAATTATGTAGTAAATATTATTATATATTATCATCATACTTAAATAAGCACATTTAGTAAAATAAGTAGTATAAGTGCTCTACAGCCAGCCACCTTTACGTCCAAAAAGTAATGAACTCACAGTTCCGACAACTGCTTGTGTTATACTTTGTTGTTCTCGCGTTTCACGTACTTTATTGTGCGCACCCTTCTTCGTCTGTGACACATCTGTGATAGTGGCATTTGTCATGTTGCTTTTGGCTGCCGCAGACGTTGAGGGTCCGGTCGAAACTTTTCCTAGATCGGGACGTACACGTCCACTACCACCACCAGCACCATTACCATTGATCGTACCTAAATCTGGTCGTTGACCACCAATACCATTCTTAAGATTGCGACGGGACTTTTGTCGTTGTAATTGCTTTATACGCGACTCGGTTGTGCTTGTACCATTTGTGGGTGCCGCTGTCGTGACCGTTGCCGCAGTCACATTTTGTGTGATATTTATTACTGTATGCTGTTGTTCGTTTTTAACAGTTCTTTCGGTACTTATTACGCTTGAAATCGATTCTGTTTCCACGCTTTCATCATCGCTTCTTGCGCATGTACTGGTCGTGGTGGGCGTAGTCAGTCCCTTATGTAGCACGGTTTTTATTTGATCACGATCGAAGTGTATATCGTCCACTACGTTATTGGCGCATGTGTGCAGATTCTTAAGACTAATTAATTGTGCCATTGGACTGGAGCTGCGACTCGCTATACCGCTAGCCAACTGGGACATAGAATTTGGTTGTGCTACTATAATATTCTCTAAACCAATACTCTCCACCTTCTCGACCAGTTTTAGTGAACGTAATGCACGTCTCTCCAAGCGCGATAGCATGATTTTTTGTTGTTTTTGAGCTAGATTACGATTCGGCCTTTCGATATCGCCGATTAGTTTGCGTCGAATTAAATCTGCACCAGTCGACAGAATGCCGAACAATGGTTCAGGTGATGCTGAGCGTGGTGGTGAACCCTCTGAAAGATATAAATAAATAATGAAGTGAAGTTGCGAAGTAAAATACATTCATAAAACATACAACATGCCACGTGATGAATAATTTTTTTGTATTTTGTGACTCATACTGGTGCAAATATATTGTGCAAACAACACGTTGTATTCTAACTTACCGGGACTATTGCAGGGCGTAACAGTTGGTGTGAAATTCGGTCCAGCGGGTGTATTCAGCGCACTTGGCGTTACAGCCTTGATACCACGTTCGTTTAACATTGAAGCCAATCCAAGATTTACCGAAAACGTCGAACAGGAATTCTTTCGGGACAGTCCACCGTGTGGTGTGGGCGGGCAACTTGGTTGACGCGATGTCGATGCGGAGGCCATACGTGATGACAATTGTGACTGTGACAAGAATGACAAATCATTCAAACCGTCATCGGGATGCATTACCATGCTCGTTGTATATGTAAATGTACAGCCAGACGCTTCGAATTGCTTCCCCGGTAAGTCATCGCTTACATCCTCCTCCACATCGGACAATGTATACACTTGCATGCCCAAATCGTCTAGGCCACGTCCACCGCGTATGGTAACACCGGGTCGTTCCTCAAGTAGGCCACTTAATGTTGGCGTTGCCAACCTGGACCAATGATGCAGTGTCTGTGAACCTTCTATCGGTTTCACAATTTGCAATTTTTCCGGTAGCCGCCATTGTTGCATTGATGCCGACATATTCGTGGATGAAATTCCCGACGAACCTGTCGACATAATACTATCTGGCGTGCGTACACCTAGTGGAAGTGTATTTGTGGTGGTTGGCTGCTCATCATATGAATACGTACCAACTGGAGCATAGGAGAGCATAGCACGTCGTGCCAATACTTCAGCGGGTGTTAGGCGTTTTAGGGCGGCTTCCAAGTCTTTAGCGCCTGGTGCACCAGGCACACCACTTGGTGCCGCTGGATAGCCGTCGTCCGATTGTGATGCCAGACTTTCGCATGACAAAGTCTTCAGACCCAGAGTATTGTCATCGAAGGCGGCACCACGATACGGCATCGCCGACATCCGCGGTCCGACGCTACTGCTCATTGCCATTGCGCCCAGTTGTGTCATCGACGAATTGCCACTATCCATATAATTGCCAGTTTTGCTAGCACATCGCACTGTTTCAAACACCCGCTTATATGGTGGTATAGCACCAACGCCTCCAAATCCATACGCGGACCCTGCGTTGCCAGCACCACCACCATATATACCGGGCATTTGTGACATTAAACGGCCCATACGATCTGCACGTTGCGTATCACCCGAAATACCGGAATCAAGACTATTTTCAGAATACATTGATGACTCCATTAATTCACATTGCAACGATTCGGGCTGCAGTAAAACAGAATTCGATATAAAAGAGCTACGCGCCTGCGGCATTGTTTTCTTTCGCTGATTACGCAATTGTTCTTGAGCCTCCTGCAGTAAAGCCAGTACTTCCTGATATCGTTGCTTGAATTCAAGTAATTCCACTGCTAATGAATTTTGGTTCTCCTTAGTTATATTTAAAAGTGTTATGTGTTCGTCATTGTCGTGCGTTAATTGATGCAGCCTCATTTCAGCTTCCGACAATCTCGCTGTTAAACTGATTATCTGTTCATGCTGCAAACGATTCTCCTCTCGGAGACGTTCCAACTCCAGATTCATGCTGTCGTAGCGACCGTTCGCTTCGTTCAATTGCGACGTTATGTCTTCCATAAGTTGCCGTTCCTGCGCCTCAACATCATCGGTTTCTGAGGCAAGCTGTAAGGCTTCAAGTTTCAAACTTTTATTCTCATCCTGCAATGTAGCAATTTTCTTTTGTAGTAAATCCAAAGTAATGGATTTGGAAAAGGTGGGAGTATCTAAAAGATAGAAGTAAGTATAATTGCATTTAGAGTACAAAACAAAAACAAATACACGTGGGTGTACAGCTGGAATATTACCATATGTACCACGTATCATATATTACATTTCCCTACCATTTTCACTCCCTTCGTCAGAGTCATTTGTCAAAACAGCAATAAGTTCATTTTTCTTGTGTAGTTCATGAACTAGTTGAGCGCGATCCTCATTCGAAGCTTTCAAATCTGCTTCGAGCTCAGTAATTTTGCTTTCAAGTGCATTATTTTGTGTTAAAAGTTCTTTGCCAATTTGTACTGTTAATTCTAAGTCCTTTTCTTTTTCTTCCAGCAAGCGGGTCACAGCTTCTATGTCATCATATGCGCGCGTCATTTGACTTACACGGTTTCCACATAGAACTGAAAATAAAATAAAATAAAATGTGAAATAAGTCCAATTGTATTAAACATTTTAGTAATTAAGCATATGTATTAAAAATAAATACACAAAATTGTGTATCTTAAATAATTACACACATATATTATATCAATTTCCTTAGAGAATAATAAATGTGTTTCATAATCAGAAAACAAATTTTTATAGCTATTAGAATTTGTGTTCTTTTTTACTTTGTTAATGATTTTCAAAATGGTTTCTATCGACAACCTTAGCAATTATTACATCGTTTGTAATTTTTCCTTTTTTCAATATTTTCAGCAATCGAAAACAAGTTCTTCTTATGACTTTTACCGCATACCATTATATTACATATTTTTTAAGCGCCGACTAATTAATTTTTCTATTAAAAACAAACAACAAATGTCAATACTGAGTGACAAAAGTATGTACATACAAATATTCATTAAGCTTAAAGCAAAGCCGGTATATATTTCAAACATTTGAAAACCATGTTGTTGTTGTAGCATCAGAAAACATTCCTGAAGTAATTTCAAGAGATATTAATATATCTATTTCAAAATAGCTATTTGAAAACCATAAAACTAAACGCTTATTTGTAAAACATTATTATTAGTTAAACATTTTACTACCTTCGTAAAGTAATTGTTCGTTCTCAAGTAAAGATTGGTTATTAGTTTGTATTTGGGAAAAGTTAAGATCAGCTAAAGCAGCATTTTCAACTGTATTTAATACTGCATTGGTAAAAGAAGATGAAGTACACAATATTTCGTCCTCATACTCCAATTGCGCAGCATCCACGAAGTCTTCATTACAATTTTCAAACCATTGAAAATTCGATTCACTGTTAATATTGAGGTTTGTGACGACAGCATCAATATTTGTATTCACTACCACTACGTTTTCTACTTCACTCTCCAAAGTGTTATATCGATTTTCTGGAGACAACGATGCGTTGCGTCGATGCAGACGGTCATTACGTTCAACGTAACCACTGGAAGCGGCATTCTCCATTGTTTTGCATGCCAAATAGAAAGTTAAATTTGCACGTATTTAATAGAATTATGTGTATTTCAAATAGCCACACATTAATTTAAATTCATTTTACGTTTTGATCGGAAGGCAAAAAGTTGTCAATTATATAACAGTCCCACGGTGGCTAATTTACTTATGCTGGCAAATAGGTACGGAAAATTTTAAGTCAAATAAATAATACTGAAAATCAAAAGCAAACAGTTGAAATGTCTGTTTAGCTTCATTACATTACTATAATCACAGAAATTTATCGCGACGTTCTTTTCCAATTATATTATATATTTTAAAAACGAGTTTAAACATTTTAAATTCTGACGCATCATATTTGCCTAAACACAACACTTGACTAGTTATTGGATTCGGTTAAGGGGTGTGCAAAATTACTGGAAAATGCAGGATTTTTGACAAAGTGAAGAGAACTTTAATTGTTTCCACGCTTGCGCTATCTTGCAAAACCAAGGGATGCCAAATTTATGACTTTAAATATATAAGTACATAAATACAACATTTAAAATTCATTAGTATACAAGTAAACACATCAAAATACAAAAAAAAAAAGTTTATTGAAACTTGTATATTAAACCTTTGTGATACTCACTTTATAACAAACCGTACTTCAAATATTTCTATACATATGTGTTAATGTATTCTTATATTTACTAAAATGCTAATCGCCTTTCTTAACTATGCTAATATAAGTCGGCAGAGAAAAAAAGATCCCAAATGGCATCGGTCTCGTGACGCACTTTTCTCAAATACTACAAAATACAACTTCAGATAAAAAAAAATCCGTTTACTCCGTTTAAAAAATAGACTTTTCTATCGCGAATGAAATTTTCGCTTTTCGTTTCACAAAATTACTGTACATAAGAGTTAAAATATGTATAATTCTAAGCTTAAATTGAGCTCACTATTATTTTGCAAACACAACTTCCTATTCGCAAATGTTCATTGCTTTAATAATAGAGAATGAATATTGGAACAAATGTCAAAAATCAATTGGCAACAGTGTTGTAGAACGTCAAATACATGAAAATTAAACTCGAACATTGAATACAATACACAAACGAAATATTGACATAATTCATTTACAGCACAACCCAACAAGTCACGACTACAGAAACTACAATGCATTAAAATTAGCGTGGAAACTAAACATACACACCGCGTAACTCATAACCCCGTTGCGTAAGAAAGGGATGAACGATCACAGATACACAAAGATTCGGTTAAATTTGACTCTTCGGCTGAACCGTTTAATTGGGGTGAAGTATATTTGCTCATAAAGTGTACTTGTTTGTATATTAGTATGTAGTGTACTATACATTTAACTTTAGTATTTATTTACCAATAATATACAATATTTTATATGCTAAACGAATATTTACCTTTTCATTATATAGAGAACACGAGAGCTTCAGATTAAAAACTTATGTACATATATGTTATCTGATATATAACTAGCCTCAACGTTTCAAATATTTTAGACATACCAGATAATTTTATGTTAATCAAGTTTTTCGTTATCAGTTTTAATATTAATACATGAGAAATTTTATCGGTAATATTTCAACACAATATTTTCACACTTGTCAACACTGTCGAACATTCCAGCAAATACGTTCCAAAATGGAATGGTTGCCAGATGTTAATACATAATGAAAAATAAAACATTATTTGTAAATAATTCTACAGTAAAACTTAAGTTAAAAAACTAATTTCAATATATTCTTTATAGTATAAGTTAAGGCGAATTGATATTTCAATATTAAAAAAAACAACGAGTTTGAAAATATTATCCCTTCTATTACTAGTAAGTTTTAATTTGATTGCAATCGCGGTTTCGGGTGGTATAAAATATATATAATTGGAAATCTTTTTTATTTGACGAGATATCTTCACAAATTTTGGCATAGGTTATTGTCAAAGGTGACAGGACAATATCAGAAGACATTTTTTAAATCTGCCTACTATAGCATTTAACTGCCATACATCCTACCCTATAAGAATGCAATAAGAATTCATCCAACAAGGATATTATAACTTCCGTGCAACCGAAATTAAGGTAATATTTTTGGTTCAAATAACGGGTGATACAAGTAGAGGTACTTCTTTTAATAGCCTTTCTTTTACGGATCATGCATGAGTCGCGTCAAGCTGTCATGTTATTTTTGTCCAGTATTCTTTGGCATCTTATCATAAAAAGACTTACGCCGAAACAACGTTAATAAATCTTTCAACTTTATTACGAAAATTCACGTTCTGCAGAGAATGTGTTTCGCGCGCTTCGCTCAACTTAGTCTACGTAATCAACCCACTGAGCGTACTATTCGCGACGCCATCACCCATCTTGAGACTCAGCATTCGTAGCTTAGTGTACACGAAAACGTTGGAGAGTCGATTCGGCGCCGTTCGCAGCAATTCGGACTGACGTATGGAACGACTTGGCACATTTTACGTCGAGATCTTAAATTGAAAGCGTACAAAATACAGCTTGTGCAAGAATTGAAACCACTCGACCTTCCCAATCGACATCGCTTCGCTCTATGGGCTCTTAAAAAGTTCCAAGGAGATCCGACGATTTCGAGCCAAATTTTGTTCAGCGATGATTCCCATTTCTGGCTCAATGGGTATGAAAACAAGCATTGCTGCATTTATGACAAGGAGCAACCTGAAGAGATTCAAGAGCTGTCATTACATCCAGAAAAAATATCGCTCCATATTTTTTCAAAAATAATTCCGGTGAGAACTTAACCGTCAATAGCGACCATTATCGCGAACCCTCGCGCAACTTCGTTCTGGATACTGTAGCAGGTTAAACTCCTACTTATCCAGAATCGATCCCGACATACCCAATATATGTCCTGAATTCGATGAGTCTCCGCATGACACTAACCACCTCTTTGTGTGCCCAACGAACCCCATTTATCTAACACCCATTTCCCTGTGCTCCGACCCCGTCGAAAGAGCTCGTTGTCTGGGCCCCCGTTAGATGACCTCGACGACAATCAAACTATAAATTACCACCCAAGCGGGGACTAGATAACCGTTGCAGCAACAATAACCATTATCGCGACATGATAACCGACTATTTGATGCCTGAAATTGAAGCTCGTGATCTCGGCGACATTTGGTTTCAAAAGACGGCGCCACTTCCCACGAATCGCATCAATCAGTGGATTTATTGAGAGAACACTTCAGTGAGCAGATAATTTCAAGTTTTGGGTCGGTCGATTGGCCGTGTAATATTACACCGATAAACTTTTTCTTGTGAGGATATGTAAAGTCTTTGATTCCAGCCTTGGAGCAAAATTGAAAATTGGACTCAACGGATCGACCATCTGAAACATAGCCGAAGAAAGAGATAATTTTCAAAAATTAAATGCCAAAAAATGTTCTTTCGACTGATAAAAAACAGTCCCCATTAAATTTGAATTCTCTGTTTTTTCTGTAAAAAAGTAGGGATCTTGAAAATGGTTCTCCCTTTAAATATTTAAAGAATAGAAATTATATTAACTTGTGATAAATCTATGCACATACTTAAAAGAGATATATCGGCCAGTATTTTTATCAGCAGTGAAATTGATCAGCTTTAAAGCTTACTTCTTAAAGCTTTACGTCCTCTTTCACCGCATAAGGTAATCTGAAAACGCATGCAATAGCAACTACTACTACTATACTTTCAATTGACACTTAAAAATTTCTATTTGAAAAAAAGTCATATTTATTTATAATTAAATGGCTACGTGTACATAAGCACAATCACTCGATAAAGTGTGACTTTTATTGAAGAATACTTAACACCGATTTCACATATAAAGATTAGTTGCAGTAGAGGGTACAGATAACCATCGCCAAATTTAGAACGGAAACCGCTTTAATGCTCTAAATCACAAATGCGCAGTAAACTTGACTTTTATTTAATTATATGATAAAAACTTGTATACTCTTTGCAACATGATGCAAGCGTATACTTATTGTAAATACGTTATGATGCATACCTTGTTCTGAGTATAACGTCCTTACAACTTTTAGACAGTTCTTTCCATCAGAATTTCTAGCAGCATGATACATTAAATCTTGTTCACCATCTTTTGAATTTTTTTCCCGATAATCTTCCCCATTTTTTATATGTTGACCTTTAGACACAAAATCGCATAAAAGTGATACAAATCGAGGAGAAATATTGTAACTTGTCTTGTTTGCAGCTAGCGTTCGTACACGTTGCATTGCTTCCAATTCAAGCTCCAAATGAGTAGCTGGTTCTTCGGATTCACTGATTGAGGTCAATGAACAGCTACCGCTGCTTAAAATGGACGTATCCACTTTAAAGGACTGCATAACGCTAATAGCTTTTTTTGCATTGCATTCAACTTGGGTTTGTAGCAATTTAAAGGTGTTTTCAAAACCTCTACTTGTTTGTGATGGCTTTGCTGTTATTAATAAGGATTTTTCCGATTTTTGATCAATTATTGATGAAATGGGTGATGACTGTGCTGATGGTGTCGATGTAGTGGAATTAAGAACACCTCCCTTAAAATCTGAGCTCACATCAAACGATGAAAAATCCAAAGGAAAAATATTTGTTGGTGTACATTCAGTAAATGCAATACTCTTATTGTCCTCGGTATCATCAGCATTGCACTTTCGGCGCTTCGAACAAATATCAGAGTCACCATATTTAAAATCGGTTGGAGCAATTATATTGCTTTGTGGCACACTTATATTTTCATTCGACATACTTTTTTTTTAATATATGTGTTCATAATAGTTCGAAGGTAGTATGATTTTAACACTACCGCGTGTTCTTATTACCATAGATTTAATTTTTTTTTTTTTTTTTTGGCACAATTTAGAATTTTTTTTAATTTATTGGGAACACCTTATCTTATCTTTAAACAAAGAAAATGTTATATTTTACACACTTATCATCGCATAAAAATAATGCATATGCATATATTAGCGATACCTGTTATATATGCCGCAAGCTAACTGGTCAGTCATTTGTAGATTTTAATTGAATATTTTTAATATTTATGTTTTTCATCCCTAGCGTAGCATTTTATGAATAACACATAGGATGTTTGTCATACGGTTAATTTTTCTTTGCATCTGTAGATCTGACAGTCATATGGAAGTTTATTTACTTATCATTACGTAATGATTATCTTTGCACTGACTTTTTCTTGGCATATGACAGCAACGGAAATTTGTTTTCGTTTTATGGCTAATGCTTCAAATAGTCACCAACGCAAAACCGTGGACCGAGTCAGCTGATAACACCTATCTTATGAGAGCGCAATGTAAATGAACACTCACCACTTTCTAGAGACCGTACAGTAGGATATCCGCGAAAATTGGATTTTTCCGGTAGAAGCCAGTGAGCTGGGAGCGAGAGAGCAATCTCTTGCAACGCAGGGTAGTAATTAAAAAAGAAACCTAAATATATTTGAAATATTCTTAAAATAACTCAAAGTAACAGTCGAATACATTTATTTATAAATAGGTAGACTATTTTTAATAGTTGAAGTATAGCTAAAAAGCTAAATGTTTGAAAAATCATGTACAAATATGGTTTGATCCGGGCGGTAAGTGCGGAATGTCGGTGACTGTTTGAATCATAAATGAAACAATACACGAAAGCACTTATGTATTATATATGTACATAGTTCTATAAGTTCAATGAAAATGTGCAAAGAAAGTCTTTAACAACTGAGTGAAATGGCCAAATTGATTCATAAATGAGTTTCAAAAAACTTGTTATCATAACAATTACTTTAAAAAAAACCTTCAACGCATGCCATTATCATTCCAATTTAGATTAGAAAAAAATTCATATATATATCTGGTTTAGTTGCTTATCAGATGCAAGAATTAAACAACGAATATATCAATGCCACTCATATACCACATATAAATACAATTATGAATAATGCTACGTTGGAATGGTTTTATGTAACTCAAAAGAATACATATAAAAAAGTTGAATGCATTAATAATTATGTTCCAATGTCTTTTTAAACACTAAAATTTCGCAAATATGCATTTCAGTCGTTGTTGAACTAAAGTCGGTTGACCAATAACCAAACTATGCAATACAGTTATTGGTTAAGTTTATACTGTGAAAATGTTTGCTTCTTCTGGAGTTCCACCTTGTCTTTGAACTAGCCCCATCAATAAGCACCATACATAACAATTAATAATTTCTCAGTGTTAGATTTTGTCATACGTTGAAGCATATTTTCACGTGTTACACATCAATATTGCTATTTAACACATTTTTAACAATTTCCACTGGAATCTTTAACACTTAAGCCAGTTGGCATTTATTTATTTCGTTTACTTCAAGAACAACCTCAAGACATTCCAATGCACTAAAAAACGCGGATAATAATTGTCTACGCTCCCAAATGAACACTGAGTGGACGGTGGAATGAAACAAATTGCCGCAACGAAATTTCTTCAACACATTCCAATTTCAAACAAAACTAAACTAAACAGCTCAGCAGAAAACACGAGTAAGTAACGTACAGGGCTGTATTTTAATTGTTTTTAACCGGCGATCATTGTATAATTTTTTAAAAAACATATGGTATTATAAATTTCATTTGTAAAAGCTAATAAACATTGATGATAAAAATGTAATTAATAATAATCATTGACACTTATCTTGTCAAACATACAATCCACTACATTATTGTATACATACACTGCTATATCAACATTTACAGTAAGGGTAACAAATAAAAATGTGTACATTTTATCAGAACGTAAGCAAAATAGGGACTGCCAGTAAAACCTTTATACGCAGGTTCACTTGCTTATTGCAGTTTTATTGAACAAAATATTAATAGTATACATTTTATTTGTCTTTAAAACTTTTTTATTAGACAAATTATATAATTATATGGCTCTTTTAAGCTCTTGCTATGTTATAAGCAAGTGGTTATGTGATTGAAGCATTTTTAAATTAAAGAGTTGCACGAACATATGTGTAATATTTTATTTTTAAAAGACAACTGACATTGTTTCTTCTTGGTAAAAATTGTTTATGCAAGGTAACAACATTCCTTGATTTTTTGAATATTGAATTGATTTTTCTTTGGAATATTATATTGTTTTGCAAAGCTTCTTAGTTTTAAAAATTGTATTCAGAAAGCTGAACACCAGACAACCGCTACTGTACTGTTACGTTACCTAATACACGTTCTATGAAAATTTTAGACATTTTCTTTTTTGTTAAACGCACATCGTTACATAAACAAATAGGCATAATGAATTAGAAAAGCTTTGAAAATTTAAGTATCAGTCATTCATATTTAAAAATAAATATCACGTACACCTACATTGAAGTATACGATGCATGAATTTGTATGTATGTATTTAGATAAATAGATTAGGATGTAAATATTTATTTTGCAAGCAATATGCCAAGTTATTGAGATTGAGATATGAAGTTCGAAAGAGTAAAAACTCTTTAGAAAAGAAATAAACAGAATTTGACTTATGTATTTGAAGTAAATAAATACAATGCAAGTTACAAGTTTTATCACCGTATTATATAATTTTATATGATTGAACTCCCAAGTACTGACCCGATACACTATTTGTACAATACAATATTAAATAAATATATTAATGGTATATTTGTTGCTTATTTATTGTTATTACATATTGAGTGACTAATGGAAAATCGCCAAGATATTAATATTAGTTTTTACAAAATTAATTATAGAAATCGCAAATCACTTACTTTTTCTACAATAACAGTCGACTTGGAATAAAGTATTCTATGCAAGTCACGAAAAATACGTTCGCTGTGTAACAAATAAATCGGACTGTACGGAAAACTAACTAAAAGTCGTTAATTCTCAGAATTATTTATAGTTATCGCAAATATTATTTAATTCTTTGCAGGTGTACTTCGAAACGCAGAAGACATATAATGTTTTGCAGTTGGCTCTCAAATGAACTGCGAAACGAATGAGCGTTATATTTGTAATTTTTTATTATATGATTTCTCTTTTTTACTTCCTAACTTGCAATACTCTAAAAGAGCTCAAAATTCGGGTCAATGTCCAGCTGGGTTAAATACTGCTACAAAAACGTGTTTTGATTTTAACGGAAGTTGTACCGTAGCGTAAGTGAAATACAAGTATTTATTAAGATAATAAAACAAAAAACCAGGAAACATTACAATACTATGTTTCAGTTTAAAATTTACCCACAAATTATTCCTCCAAGCCGGAGAAGTTCTTTTGGGATGGGATCCACAAACTGCCAGAAAGATGGGCAAACATCATAGCTTCCGATGGGCAATTACTTTGAACATTAAATGTATAACAATTTTTTCACAATAAAGTCTTAATTTTCGTAAAAAAACCGCACGAATTAATGCATACACCCAATATTTTATAGAAATTGAAATTATTTAGGCAGCAGGGAATACGGGTTTATAAATTTGATCTGTTCTGCCTATGCAAAACATTGTTATACGAAAATAAACAATGTTAGATGTATTAGAGAATATAAGAAATTTTTATCCTAACGCGTTGTCAGCTTAGGTAAGTATAAGGTTATCAAATTTTAGGAGCCCCTTTTTAATTTATATACAATAAAATAGTTTTCTTTTGTTTAAATATGAAATATATTCATGTACTTGTAACAAAATTTAAAAAATTACTAGTAAAATCATTTATTTCTACAAATTTTGAATTTATAATACAATATTGGGTCAGCATACAAATTTTAACTTTCAATATTATTTTTTTCTACGCGTAATATGCTTAATTAAGATAGTTTCTGATTAAAATTTTAAACAATTGTGTGAAAATTTTTTTTAGAAAGTTCAAGTTCAAGTTTTGCTCAAGATGTTCAAAGATAAATTGTTTGAAGGCTCAGTAAATTGCTTGTTGCAAATTTACTATTAAGAAAACATTTTAAAAATACAATATTAAAGACAGTGTAATTACTTCATAGTGTATTTAAACAAAGCTATAGCAATGACAACTAAATTCAAACCCATTTAATGACCGAGGCTGTAGTTGCATTAGAGTCGATAATACAGTTCATTTATCATTTAATATGCATTTTATAATTGTTTATTTTTTATTGTATACAAATGAAACTAATAAATAAATTAGCTGCGAACATGAGAAAAGATAAGATAAGGTGGGAATTAAAACGAAAGCACAATATATAAACATTAAAAAATTATATGAGTTCAATTCTGTTTGGGCAACACTAAAATTAAATCAGAAATATAAAAGCGTAGACTGCAGTTAGTGAAAAATATTTTAAACTATTCTCTGCATCTTGCGCAGTCCACAATTAAATAACAGTATACATGGTTTGAATACAATTCAATTCTACTCCGACAACACTACTGCATTTAAGATAGTAATAAAGAAATACTAAGCTGAACTAAATTCGATTTCGGAAAAACGTTAAGCAATTAAATTTTTGTTGCAGGATAAAAATTGTCCTAAATAGTTTTAATGCGGAGATGACGTCTGCTGACACCCTCTTGGCTGAATAAAAATCAGGGTCCGTTCCGGTTACGTAAACGTCGTAGGAACGACAACGTTTGCATGAATGCTATGGTACATGCGTAGACCCAGAAAATCATACTTAAAGAATTCTTGGTTCTTTAAAAATCAATTTAAATATAGTATTTTATTTGAGTTTTTAATAGAAGTTAAGAAATTAATTTGTTTGAAAAAATTGTAGTTACTATAAGTTTGTTGGATCAATATGTTGCCAATTTTTCAGCCTAAAAATAAGCAACATTATAAATTTGCAATTTATAAAAAAAAAATGTTCTATAAATCTATATAACAAAAACGTATATGTTCATTTTGCTTAGCATCTTTTAGGCGCATTTTAATTTCAAACTATTGCTGTGGTGTGTAAATAGTGGTTCAGTTGCGACGCCAGCTGAACGAATGCAGAGAGAAGTACAATCAGAGAACTTAGAAGAATTCATTTATGTTCTCTGGTACAATATCAGGTAATTCCAATAAAATAAAAATAATATATTAAAATAGTTTACAGTTCGGCAAAGCTAGCTTTGATAAGTCATATATACGTTTTTAATAATATAGATGAAAATACCTCTTGTAAAGAAGGTTAAGATACTCATGAATAACATCGAAAAATCTTTGTTTTTCGAATGTTTTGTTAGAACTTTCATATCTTAAACGGTTTCAAATTTTATATACATATTTTAAAGAAATTTTAATTCGGTCACCGCGCAAAATAATATGTGAAAAACTAATCCAGGTAACAAATGAATATAAATATGTATACACATATGTACATACATAATTTATTTGTATAAATACGTAATTAATTGTAAAATATACTTACGAAAATAATTAAGCGTCTCACGTGTCTGCTCTTTGGTTAAACCTAAACCTTCTGTAGGTATTTCTAATGCTGGTGCAGGGACAAACCAATCCTGATTGGAATACCCAGAAAAGTCAGTTAAGAAATCGGACCGTACTTTATATTTAGGGATTTGTTCCTCCAATAGGGAAAATATCTCAACCTCAGGTATATTTTCGCTACTACATAGTTCTGAAATAAATAATTCGTTATTTTTATTTTTTAATATGGTAACATTCATATGTATGTACATATAAACGTATACATATCCATATATAATGTATGTATGCATGCATTTAAAAAGGTTCAAAGGACCAAAATGGTAATGCTATGATAATTTACTATTGGTTACTAAGTGATACCTTGTGAAACCAATTAAAAATTTTTACTTCCTTTTAAAAATATTGCTACATACATTTATTGTATATATGTACATATGTATATATGTACGTGAAATATTTGTGTTTTATACCTGTGCAACAGCTAGCATCGACCATTTGCACTGTAGCTTTGACATTTTGTTGTTGTTGTGTAAGGCGCTTCGTTGCTAATTTGGGTAAATGTTTATTAAGAGTGGCTTGTGCGGATGGACTTAGCGGAGCGGAGGACCTCATAGGCGTTGAAAGCATAAAAATGCTTGATTCCTAAAAAAGTCAACCACATTTAGAAATTAATTTCAATAAAAATACCGTACACATAATATATTTATGTGTAGCGGTGACTACACTTTACAATACTAAATAATTAAACTAAATTTCCAAATACATAAGATAAAATTATTATTTGTGTGAAAAAAATTG